CTTGCAGGACAAGAGTTCTAAAACACAGAAGTGAAGCAGTGAAATATGGGCTATTTCAGGTCAAAGACAGTGGTGGCTGCAGGCCTGTGAGGGGTCAGTAGGTTTGGAAAGAGGTCAAGTGAATGAATCCATGTGGCCAGTATGGGAAGAGAGGTGGCCAGGATCAAGTCAAGACATCTGTTTGGGTACCTGTACTTAATGACTTGGTAAACCTAGGTGGCAGTCAACCTGTCTGGGGTCTGAGGGAGGGTAGAGAGGCAGGGAATTCAGTTTTGGATTTTAGCATTGGAGGAGGCTCTTGTCAGCCAACTGGATATGCTCCAAATCTTTGGAGAGACAGGCTGGAAATAAAGATTTGTGACTCGGCAGGTCCTAATTAGTCTCCATGACTCCTCTGGTGATGGAAACCTGGGAAATGGTAAAAGGAGAAGATGTAGTGAGAAGGGGAGACTGCTCAGGAGCTACGGGGACCTCCCCCACTCCAAGGAGGACACTCCCAGGAACTAGAATGGGGGTACCTGGAGACAGGGGCCAGGGCTGCTGGGTAGGGCCATGTCTGAGCAGAGGTCCCCAAGGGCAGCCAGTGCAGAGGGAGCATGGGAGCAGTGAGTGAAGAAGCCGGAGCTCTCTACTAGCTCAGCAGTCTACTCAGTACAGTAACCCTGTGTTCAGTTCAGTGTTGGAGGAGTGGGGCCCACCTGCTTTTCAATTCCTAAATAGTAAGCATGTGTTTCGTGCTAAAATGAAACATTTCTCTCTGTTACTAATAACCTATGGTCATTGGTAAGTCATTTGTCTCATCTGTTGAACAGAGATGAATGGGGTAGAGGTGTGGGAAATTAGATAAATGTATGAGATATGCAGTGCTGAGCCTGACATGTATAGGTGTTTTGGGGGAGTGAGGGTTGTCTCCCTGCTAATAGAGAATCTAAGCCTTGTAATATTAAACTGTGTTGTTTTGAACTCGGTTTTTTTTAATGTGGTATATTTCCATGAAAAAAATTAATTATTGATTGAATTGTGCTGTTATAACTAGAATTGGGTTCATAACAAATAGGAACACTACTTGATAAACTTGCAAACAAACAAAGCCAAAGATTGTACTTGTTACCCCTTGTTGGAGATTAATTTTATTATAGGATAACTACACTAAACTCGGCCACATCCTTATTAAAACTGTTTAAGGGTTTTAGAGACCATCTCAGAGAGACTCTGAAACCAATCCGAGCTGGTCCTGGAGATTCCATTAGCTATCGTAAAACTGATTAATCTTTTACCCCCTTAGCATATTGATTATTGCTGCAATTACTGCCTGTAATGGATTATGCGAAGGACACTGAAGCAAATAGACTTTGTAACTGCTGCCGCCGGCTTTAGTTTGGCGCCTGCCCTGTACTTTCTGTACATAATCTTTGCGTTTTAAATGCTGGAATGCTTCTAAGGTAGGAAGTGTCGGGCTAAGTGCTGCTTCAGTGTTGGGAGACAGACTTTCTGGGTTTGAGCTTACAAAGTCCCTTCACTAGTGCAATTGCTGCAGTTTAATTTCGGAGTCCACAGGCACCCTGGGTGATGAGGTGAACAGAGAAGGTTAGGTGACTTCCTGAAGGCTGTGCACAGTAGGGACTGGTAGAATGACAGTCCAGTCCCATTTCAATCGATGCATCCTTATCAAACACCCACCACGTGTAGAGCATGTGTTGAAGTGATAAAAGCCAAGACATGATAGGTGGTCACAGTGTGGCTTTTCTGTTCAACTCACGTTGGCTTTCTTGGTGTCTGAGGTACAGGCCTTCACTGTTACTACTTGTTTTTCTTTTGTTTTGTCAAGCCAGAGTCTTGCCTTTGCCATCACTGATGATTTTATGACTGTTTAGAGCCAAAGGGGAGAGAACGAAGGAGAGGTTCTGCAGAGATGCAGGGCCTCAGCCCTAACTCCAGCTGGCAGTGCAGTGGTTAATTGTGGTCTTTGCTCTTTTCTTCTGTGAGGCTCACTGGTCCCCATCTTACAGCCCAGCAGTGTGAGACACAGCAGGGCATGGCAGCATTGCTTCATTGGTGCCATGTGTCAGGAGACAGCCAATGGTGAGGCTCCCAGGAATGAGCCCTCCAACTCTTGAGTGCCTTGTTCACTTACCTGGGCAGCAGCAGGACTAGCAGCCTGGTGGCCTAGAGGCCTGATGGGAGTGCTCTGTGTGTACTACACATGGCCCAGGGTTTCTCCTTGCCTGTAGAGTGTTGGCTGTGCGGCAGCCAGAGCTCAGGCTGGGGCCTGTGGCCTCTCAGCAGCCCTGCTACTCAGAAGTCACTTGTGCGCAATGTGCTCACGCCATGGGTTTGGTTACTACCCGACTCTCTGTGTGTGTGTGTGTTTCCAGCTCTATCCTAGGATAGCAGCAGGAGAAAAGACATTGGGATTTGGGAGAGATGTAGAAAAGGAAAAGCAAATCCTAATTAATTGTTTGAGAAAGTCTTAATCAGCACAGTGTGTATCATTGCAGTGAGATTCCGTTAATCATGGTACAGAGAGCTGGGTATAGATTGCCTACATTTTTCACATTGGTTACAAACATATATGTAGTTTTCCAGTTGATTTGGCACAGTGCTAAGATGAAAGGGAAACGTTTTTTTATTTATTTTGTGAGGTAAATAAATAAAGCTGGAAAACAGGTCAATTTCATGCATGCAGGGTTTTATAGTAGGGAGAAAGGCATTGCACCTGTTCTGACCCTTCGCACTAAGGTTATTTGTTTTCAAACTTGACCCCAAGCACCAGTTTCAGAAAATTCTGTAATTAGTTTGTTAGATAAAGCATAAGGATATTTTTTTTTCTGTTTTCTAGGACCATGGCGAAGTAGAAACCTACTGTACATAGCAGTTAATTAGAGAAAAGCATTAACTATAGGCACCACCATGGCCCTGTCTTGTATCAGTATAAAAAGGCAGGAATTTTTTTGACAGCCACTGATTGGAAAGTTGCTTGCAGCCTTCCAGAAGCACGGTACATGCTGTGGATCAATAACCGGCAAATTTCCCATTAAAAAGAATACCTGAGCAATGTTCCAAATAGCCACTGGCATCTTAATTTTCCACGGAAACCTCAAATACTTGTGTGCCAAGGACAAGTCATTTTCGGACAATTTTTCCAGACTACTTGTTAACAGTTATTGCTGTCCCAAAAGGTTGACAGCCGACATGATTGATATTTCACTTACCTGTCGTCACCATGTGAGTAATGGTGTGCGCGCTGTATTTCTGGCTTTTCAGGAGCAGCCTCGTGTTGCCTTCGTATATTCCAGAGTGATTTGCACGTATTTATGTTGTGCATGTTTAAGTTTTTAGGTCCATAGAAAGAGAGAATTGCCTTCCTTTACAGTCTGAAAGCCGTTGCTGGGGAGGCCACGCCCATCTCAATCATAGCGAAGAGTCCCTCCTGAGCCCTCCCATCACGTCTGCCTTCACCATCCTTGTTTGCAGTGAAGAAAGCCTTGGATTTCTCAGCTTCTGATCCTCACAGTGATGGAGAATTTGGGGGCCTCTGCATATTTCTAAGGAAAAAGATTGATTCTAAAATAACTTTGATCTATATAAAGCTAATAGAAAGACATTTTTTAAAATTAATTTATTTTATTTTATGTGTGTTGATGTTTTGTCAGGTCTCCTGGAACTGACAGTTAGGAATTATCATGTGGTTGCTGGGAATTGAACTGGAGTCTTCTGGAAGAGCAGCCAGTGCTCTTAACGACAAAGTCATTTCTTCAGCCCCAAGATACAAGGCTTTTTTTTTTTTTTTTTTAGCACGTTAGTGAACATGATAATCAGTTTTCAGGAATTTCCTGAAAATGTGATAGTTAAGTGATATATGTATCTTTAAGTATAAAAGCAGCTAAGATGAGAGAGGGAGAGAGTTCTGCTTTTGATAGGCCCTTAAAACACAAAAGTCAGAGTGGAGAGAGGGCTCAGCAGTTAAGAGCACCACTGCTCTTCCAGGGAACTGGGGTTTGATTCCCAGCACCACACGGTGGCTCACAACCATCTGTGATTCCAGGCCTTTTTCTGTTCTCTGCAGGCACCAGACATGCTAGTAGTACACAGACATATATGTGGGCAAAACACTTAGACACATAAACATTTTTAAAAACTATTTTGGGCCAGTCAGTGGTTTTCCTTGTAGGTATTTTTTTTCACGAACATCATTTTCTTGTTTGTTCAGTTTAAAAGAAATATAAGAAGTACAGAAGGCATCTCCAGGTATAGGTGAACAAGTGATGCAGGCAGTGTTCCAGGAAAAACGGATGGGACCTCGGTTCAGTCTTCTTTGAACTTTGGAATTCTTTTAGGAAGGGCAGTGAGCTATTGTTTTACTCAGGATCATAGGTTTTGTGTGCCTAGAATTTTACAATGAGTTTTGATCCATCTTAAACTGTGCCTAAGGCTAAATTATACATCAGAAGTAGATTTTCTAGAAGGGGACTATCTTTTTACGTGGGGATTCTGCTGTCCGTGGTTGAATAATATGTTGTTCATTGGTCCCACAGTCTCTGCAGCTTCTGTCTTCATTATCTGTGTTTTTTTATACACAAATGTGCATGTTTGATTAACTGACATGTGGATTCAAGCCAAATATTGAGCCTATTCATTTTGCTTTACAAAATTCAGAAGAAAAGGACAAGAGGCAATTTGAATAATTTCTATCAAAATGGTTTTTGTGTCATTTAAAATATATATCATTCTAAAGTATGATAAATACTAACATGGGAGCTTAGTTAATACTGTTAGTCTAGAGATAAATGGTGGTATGGATGATAACCCTGTACTGGACCTCCAAATCCTGACTATATTCACTGTAGTAATTTTTTTGTGCAAATATAAGGAACGTGTTCTCAAGACTGATATGTACATACCAGCCATTTACAAAAGTGCAATGAATTTAACAGCCCTCAAGTGTCTGTCCTAGTGTCCGTTACATTACTGAGTAATTTCTTTCTATTATCTCTTTGCAGTATTATTCCACAGTAATGGAACAGCAAGTAAATGGCCAGCTAATAGAGCCACTGCAGATATTTCCAAGAGGTAATGTTGAACAAATTCTAATCAACAATGATTATTTCAGCAAACTGTTTCATCAACAGTTATGTTTTCCAAAGGTTTAAATGCACATAACATGATGTTTAGCTCTTAATTTGAAAAAAACAAAAGAAGTATTCATTATCATGGGGGATTGCAAGCTATATTATAGTTATAGCAGATAAAATATCTAATCTGCTAGAGTAAATTAAACTAACTAGATTGTTTTTTTGTTTTTGAAGTACATACTCACATTCACTTAAAGAACTCTTTGGGAGTCCACATGATTCTAAACCAAGGCAAATGGATGGCTTTAGTTCTGGATTTACAAGTCGTGACTCATGGTGATGGTCAAAGCTGCCATTGAGACGGGAGCTAGGGTGGAGGCTCTGAAAAGTGGGAATTCTAGGACAGAGCTTTGGGAAGTTGATGTTTGTCCTGAGCTAGGGAGGTGTTTTCTAATTAGTGGGGCATCTTCTTCAATGGCAGTTGGTTAAGTCTCCAAATACCTGAGTGGACGAGGGTGAGTCTCAGTGGGAATCTCTCTCAGGTTGGGTCATACCAACCTTGTGTCAGCTATGATTTTTTCTATTATGCAAAGACCTCTAAAAATTTGAATAACAATGCAAAGAGTGACTTAGTTATATAAACCAGTCCATTTTTAACTGTTATTTTTGTCCCACTTGAAATCCATGTTTTCTAACTAATGGAACAGACCAGGAAACCCTCTAAGTAACTCTTCTAGAAATAGCTTAATTGAAATAATTAAAAGTTAAACTCACCTTCTTTAACTGTACAGATAATCATGGTATGAGTTTTCCAATTAAACATTCTAGACTTTCATTACCTGTAACTCAGAAGTTTGAATGGCTCAATTAACCAGTGGGCTCTGTTTGCAGAGATGGTCTCCAAAGGCAGCTGGCTTGGCCAGCCAGGAAGGAGATCGGGTTCAAGTGCAATATTCCTCTTTGGGCGTTTGTGTGGGCAGTGGAACCAGGGGGCTTATTTCATTATTAGTAAGAACTTAATGAAGGGCTAAGTGAGGGGATAAAACTGTGCTTCTTAAGCTCAGTGGTCATCCAAAAGAAAAGTATGATGAATCCGGATTCTGTGGTGCTTGACTGAACAGGCAAACGGGGAGACTGCTGTTTCTTTGTAGATGGCCCCTGATGACGACACAGATTATTTCCTGGTTTTCTCAGTGACTACAGAATTAGGGCAGATTTAAAAATTATTTCCTCCAAAGAATAGTGTTTTACAGGCTGGCAGTCTTGTTCATTTGCTCCTGAGCTCTGTTATGGCAAAGCCAGGTACAGATCCCTGAGAATCTAGTCACCAGGCTGGAGGGCTTTTCTTTTCAATAAACTGTTTCCTTCTCTCCATGGGAAACCTTTTAGTTGAATTCCCTCTCACCGTATGGGCAGCCTCGTGGTGTTACCGTTCCTATGCAGAGCCCCCTTGGTGACGGTCATTCTGAGATCTCTGTTCTCCCTTCTGCTCTCCCAGCAGTTTTACAGTTAGGGTCTACTGCTTCCGTTGTGTGGACTGTTGAGGTTCAGAGAGGTGAAGTAACCAGAGAGCCACACAGCTCCTAAGTGTTTAGTGGACTCTTGAGTGAGGGTTGGCTTAGATTACGGTTTGGTTCTGGGGAAAGGCATCTAACTTCAGGTACCAGTGAGGTGTGTGAGGGGAGTTTGGAGGGTTTAGTGTTAGAGTGGAGAGAAGAGGATGGTGTAAAGACAAAACTGTGAGATGCTGCTGTCTCCAGAAGCCCCTTGAGGCTTAATGCATATTAAACGTAGTCTCACCAAGCCACGCTGAGAATTCCAAAATGTGACGTCATCCTCTTTCTGGGGTTCTTTTCTGTGCTGTAATTTGGGTCTTTGGTTCTTTTTGTTGTCTTGTGTTTTGCTACTTAACTACCTCACTGCTGATGAGTGGGGTGATGAAATGTATATTTGTTCTGGTTACATTTTGTCAACTTGACACAAACTAGAGATCCCTGGGAAGAGGGGACCTGAATTGAAGAATTATCTCCATCAGACTGGCATGTCTGTGGGCATTTTCTTGATTTCTAATCGTTGAAGGAACCTAGACCACTCACTGTCTGTAGTGCCAGCCCTGGGTGGACTGTCCTGGGTCTTAGAAGAAAGGTCTCTGCAGACATGTGAGTCTGGAAGCGAGTCAGTTAACAGGGCTTCTGACTTCTGCTTCAGCTCCTCCGGGTCTCTGCCTTGGCCTCTTCTGATGATGGACCGTAACCTGTATGCTCAACAGACTGTTTCCTCCCCCAGTTGCTTTTGCTCGTGGTGTCTATCACAGCAGCAGAGGTGCAGGCTAGGACAATGTACACTTAGAATGTGGCCATGGCAGGAGTTCCCTTGACCTTCCTGGTTGGTCAGAGGGTCTCAAGCCCTACAGGCTCTGTGCCTAGGCCCCATGTGAAGAAGAATCTTCAGACTGAGCAGGTTGGTGGGACAGGAGATAATGATCTGACTCTAACCACACATTCTCCTCATTCCAAGTAGCACTGGTATCTTGAATAGTATTCCACTCCTAGCTCATGGCCAAGTCTTCCCTGTGGCTCAGAGCTGTGTTAAATATTAATAAGTATGAAAATTGGCTAGCATTATAGGAACTGCCTTTTTAACTTCAGGATATATGAGGTTGCTAGGCTTTTGAGTGCAACATGGCTGTTTAGATTTCTAATCACAAAGGTTTGAAGAGGCAGTTGAGAAGCAAGCAGGCTTACGGTTAGAGAAGATGGCTGGGGTCTCGCTTAGTCCTTGGCTCACCACCCTTTTTCCTGCAGAGGCAACAGTCTGAGGGAATACTGAGGGTCCTCCAAGAGCTGGGGAGCAGATGTGTGCAGCTGTTGTTTTGTTCAAAGAGTTATTTTGCATTTTAAAGAGAGATTTGGAGTCTTAATGAATTAAATATCTTATGTACTTAGAGAAAAAATAAAAACATTTATTCGTGTTGAGGTATTTTTGGGATAATACTTTGGAATAACTTGATAAATTCATTTTAGAACTATATTTATTTATTTATTTAATGTGTATTTGTGTGCCTGACCATGTGTGTGTGGGAACTGGAGAAGGTCAGAATAGGTGTTGGATGCCTTGGAACCTCTGGGGTTAGAAATGGTTGTGAACCACCATGTGGGTGCTGGGAATCAAACCTGGGTCCTCTGGAAGAGCAGCCAGTACTCTTAACCACTGAACCATCTCTCCAGTCCTAATAAAATAATCAATTCAAATTTACTCAAATCCCCGAGTAAAACTAACCCACACCTTGTAATTATCATGCATGTCTTCTTAAGCAGCTCGATTTCTATTGTCAGAAACAGAGAAAGAAAAAAAAAAATCAAATCCACCCTTTCCTAAGCAATCAGTCAGAATTGACAGCCCCTTACCACCCTGTTGTAAGGCACTCTGGTATTTGAACGGAATCGGTCTATAACATGGCTAGAACGCTTTGTGTTTTAAACGTGATGAAGAAGCATCTGCGGGGTTAGAAGTGTCTCACTTGTCACCCAGGGTGGTCCTGGGAAATCCCTGTCATTTTCCCTGGCCCTACATTATCCTCAGCGCTAAATAGGAGCAGATATCAAGAAACCTCATTAAGTTGTATATCTGTGTTTTTAGTGAATCTGATTGCTTATGGCTACATAAAATTTGAACATACCCAGACTTGCATATTCCATCTTGGAATCTATAGCAATCTTTTTGGCATTCAATGACCCTTTCCCCACCCTCCCCAACACCTTCAGAGCAGCAAAAGCAGAGACCGCTGTTTTGCACATCCTTTGACTGCACATCCTCAGGCAGTTCAGGGGAGTGAGGGAAGACTGCAGAAATCTGAGCCACGGGAGGAGTCCCGTCATTTTAGCTCAGCTAACGTGATTTTGGTATGTTTTAAGCAGAAATTGGAATTCCTATGAAGTGGTGTCAGAAAGTTCTCTGCATTTAGAAACGCTCACTCCTGCCAGTTAGGAACGCGGTTCGTAATTCCCACCTTGGGTCTTGGGGGCCACTTTTCAATCATTTCTCTCTGCTAATTTTGGTGTCACCCTCATTTCTTTTTAAACGATTCATTTTGAGCAAATTTGTAAATGGCCCTGATGTGTTCTACAATTTAGTCAATTACTGTTTCAGCCTGCAAGCCTCCTGGGGAACGGAACATACATGGCCTGAAGGTACGAATTTCAATAATTGTTTCAGTAAAGTTAGATGGATTTGTAATGCTGTGTTCCACTTATTGAAATGTCAAATAAAACTGCACTTTCTCAAGCTCTGACAAGCAATCTTTTTTTCTCTGTTTTGAGTGGTGGGGTGGAAGGGCGACATCTGTATTTGCTTACGCTGTGTATGTACTTGGATCCTGGGCCTTTGGTGCTGTATTTTTTCAGTCATTTGGAATTGTTTTGTTGGTCAGTTTCTCCAGGATGATCCTGGGGTCTGTTCTCTACAAAGATTCATTTGAGTGAGAACATGGACTTCATTTTGGTGATTAATTAAGCACATAAACATATTGCACACAGGGTGCCCTCCCTCTTCTCTCGACATATTTATGTTTGAAACACATATCTAGTTAATGCCTTTTCATTGTTCTGCGTGTTTTAAATTCTGGATTTCTGCTCAAGGCTTCACATATGAAAGAAAAGCTGGCTATTTTATTAGGCTCAAGTGTTTTATAATTAATTACTTGGACCTCATTTTCTAGTGAATGAGAAGCAGTTGTAGAGCTGGAAGGGGGTGGCATCCTGAGGTTTGCTACTAACCCCCAGACACACGCTTAATGCGCTTTCATGGGCATCCCGCATTTCTATTGTTCTAGATAGTGAGCTGAGGTTTTCGCCCCTCGGTTTCTCTTTCTTACAGCACTATTTAAGTATTTGAATAATGCCAGGGAGAGGGGATTATGTAATATATGGATTGTACAGTTCTGTAACCTATATACTGAATACACTCCAACTGTGGGTCTGTCTAGCAACAAGCTAATTAACCTTCATAGTGAGATGAGACATTGTGTGGTGAATTATAGGTTAATTAGAACTGTGTCCTCAGAACACAAGGCTGATCAAACTTCTCTCTTTACTTATAGGTGAATACGCGGGCTGGACCATCTCAACATACCAGCCCTGTGGTCTCAGACTCACTTCCAAGCAATAGGTGAGGACAGACACGGGAATTGTACCCTGATGCTATCCTCTCTCCGGGGTTGGGGGAGGGGTGGGAAGGGGCTTGGTCAACACGTGTCTGTTCTGTAAGGTAAAGAAGTGCAGGTGGCTGTAAAGAGAGTGGGCTAGCCAGATAGCCCTCTGCATATTGGCTGATGAGAAAAAAGACAGCGTAGAAAGCTGAAGTTAGAGGTAGATGAGGTGGCCCGTGGCCAGAAGATAAAGTGCCTGCCAGGCAAGCGTGAGGGCCTGAGTTTGGATCCCCAGCCCCCATGTAAAATCCAGATGTGGCAGCACACATCTGAGTCTCCAGTTCTGGGGAGGTGTAGCCAGGTAGCTCTCAGGAGCTCACCGGCCAGCCACCCTAGCTGAGTCCATGAGCCGCAGGTTCAATAAGAGACCCTATCATAAAACATAAGACTGTGAGCCATTGAGGAAGATATGATATATGAACCTCTGGCTTCCGCATGTGCACAAATATGTATACACACCCACACAAACATACACCTTTACCACACACACCCATACACAATGAATGAATGAGTGAGTGAATGAATGAAGATACAACAGGTGGAATTGACATGTTACACCATTCATTTTGTTCTAGAGTAGTTTTGCCCGAGTCTCCGAATTGTGTAGACTGTTCTGTGCCTGTCTCAAGTCTTGGTGCAGTTACAGGCTGTGTAATACTTACCAAGTCTGTTTTGCTTGTCCATCTTTTGACAGTGTTATTATCTGCTGGCCTCTTCACTAGACAGAGTCAGGGAAAGAGTCAAATGGTGACATTTAACTTGACCGCAGTGCTGCTCATTAATGGCATCTTTGGTTGTCCAGGAGATTAAAGCTACTGTAACAGGAAGATCATTTTTGTTAATTCATGCTGGCATCACCCCACACTGGAGCAGATCTTAAGCCTTTCAAAGTCTTCTTATGTGCCTGAACTTAACTGCCACACTATGGCGGTACTCCGGTCAAAGGGGTGACTTGGGACATTTTGTCTGTGCGTCCAGTTAATCTGCTAGTAAACATCATATTCCTCACTGTGGGGCGCAGAGTCACAACGGTGACTGAAAAGCTGACAGAACCAGAAAACCCTTCTTCCATCCTGCACTGAAGGTCCCTGGCCTCTGGGCTCTAGTCAGTGTGTGCACAGCCTTTTACGGGCTGAGATGCAGTCGAGGCCTCTGCTTTCCTCTCGTGCCTTTCTGTCCTCCTTTACACACAGCCTTGGGTCTGTGGCTGTGGGTTCTGGTTTGACTCTGGCTCACCGTTTTGGAGGCTGTAAGTCCAGCTGGCCTGGCACAGGCTGTGTGAGGGCTCCTTGTCGGCTATTCTCCTCATGGTGGGCCCATCTGTAGGGGTGCTTGCATCTTAATAACGGAAGCCACAGAGAGACCCCTGCTCCTGTGATCCTGCCCACTCTTTTATTTTCTCTTAAAAATGTAAACATTTTCTTTTATATGCATGAGTGTGTGTATGTATGAAACTGCAACACATGTGTGTCCAGTGCCCACTGAGGCCAGAAGAGGTGGTTGGAGGCCCTAGAACTGGAGTTACAGATGGTTGTGAGCCTTCACCTGGGCTCTGGGAACCAAACCTGGGTTCTCTGGAGGAGCAGTAAGTACTCTTAACCACTGAGCCATCTCTCTAACCTGTATGTTTTTCTTTAATTTTTAAGCGTCTTGCTGTGTAGCCCAGGTAGACCTCAACCATGTGGTAATCCCCTTGCCTCATCCCCCCAAGTGCTAGGATTACTGGTGTGTACCATCACACCATCTCCACAGTCCCAATTGGCCTAAGAGCCCCTCCACTAGGTCCCTCCCCTAAGCTGCTTCAGTGGTTTTTTACTGCGGTGTCAGTATCGACCCACTAACCTTCCAGCCGAGGACACCGGGCTCTAACAGTTGGTGTCTCCTTGAACAGTTGGTTCCACCTTAGAGTGCAGTTAGCTAGCTAGTCACCAGCATGTCACCTGCCTGGTCATGTGGGGCAGATGTTCGCTTCTCCACAGAGGGCTTGGCCCTGCCGGACACTGCTTTGCATTCACTCTCTCCATACTGCCTGGACATGTGAGTCATGGTCCTGTAGAGTAGAGGCATGTGGGTAGAGGACTCCTTGTTCACAGAGCTCCAGGAAGGTAGAACCTTTCACTGGTACCACTGATTCCAGAAAAGATGGTGTGCACACAAATGGCATGTGAGCCCTGGGGAAGGACAAGGTTTTCCCTGGTGTCTTAGATTACACTTTCGTTACGGCATAAAAAGCCAGATGGAATTGCAAAGATTTCAGGTCAGAGAAGCAGTGTTACTTCCAGTCTTCCACATCATTGTAGCCACAAGTGAGGATTAGCTTGGGGTAAAAACTGTCACGTCTCTTCGTGAAGTGTTGTGAGACTCTTGGATCGGACGAAGCTTCACCACCTGGTTATCTGCCGGTTTCATCCCGACATCTTCACGTGGGGGTCGGTATGGCAGCCTCCCGGACAGTAAGCACAGGAAGGGTTCCTGTCATGGGAAGAATGTTAATTGAAAAAGTCCTCTGGGTGTTTTTAACATGTTACCCTACGTTGGCCGTGTTCTGTGCCCCAGGTTGATAACTAACCAGCAGGTATTTGAGTGCCTCTTATTCGTTAGTTGCTGTCCTAGGAATATGATGTGGCAATAGTGTTGTGAAGGAAGCACATGCGTGCAGAGAGAAACACTAGACAGGAGTATGTTTCCATTTAAACTGAGTCCTCAGAGCTGGCTCCTTGGGGAAAGTGAGGTTTCAATCTAGACCTGATGCACACAGAGGACCAAGTTATATCACAATAAAGACGTAGAGCTAGAAGAGGTGCCTACGGCAAGGCCCTGAGGGGAAAGAGCTGGTATGTTTGCAAGTGGACTGGTTGGCCGGAGCAGGAGGAGAGGTACCAGGTCAGAGCAGGGTGTGGGAAGTTGGGGGAGCAGCACAAGGGTTGGGAGGCAGGGCTGCAGACAGGAGTCAGGTCACGTGGGGCCTGGACGGTCCAGCCGGCCTTTCCTTTCCTTTCCTGGCCTGGAGAGCCACAGAGGGCTGTAGGGGCGGAGGGCAAGCCAGCCCGGCATTGGTAGATACTTCGCCTGTGGGAGCAGGAGGAGGGAAGCGCCAGCCTACCTTGCTTTCCTTTGATACTCCGGTGCTTTGCCAAACGGACACCCAGGCTCTTCCCAACATCTGGGCTAGGGATGCACTTTTGGGCCAAGGCTGCCCCTTTGTTTTCGTTCAGGTCCATCTTAAGAGGCTCTTTCTTTCTGAGCTGAGATTTGCCGCCCTTCAGCACCCACTCGTAAAGATGGAGTTTTGTCCCCAGAACACGACTGTTCCCTCTTTCAGCTGAGCTCTTCATACAATCTTCTCTCTTGTACCACATCCTTCCAGCAGCCTGCACCTTCCTAGGAGCTCTGCACCTGCCCACTTGCAGCATCCCTCTGGCTGCACAGATGCTCCAGGGAAATCTCCACAGTCCGCTGTCGGTCTCCTCTACCTTAGCTGAGACAGCCTTGCTAATTGTAATAGTCAGCTCTTTACTATAATGGAATACCCAAGATAGTTCATTGTGTTGAGATAAAAATTTACTTACCTCACAGTTTGGGGCATTGAAAGCCCAATGGCCCAGGACAGGCCTTGGTGATGACTCCTTGTGCCTGTCCCTCCTCATTCGGAGTGACTGATACAGGGACCAGAAAGAGTGAGACTGGGTTCTGCAATCCCTTTTGAGGACACACCTCCAACTTACATATTCATCTCCCACTAGAATCTTTTCAAAGTCCACACCCTCAACATTGACACTCTAAGGTGGACCATTCGAGAATAAACCAGCTCCAAACTGTAACCCTAAGGCACAGTTCTGAGGCACCATTTCCTACTTAAGGATGAAGTGAGACCTCCATGGGTCTTGAGGGGTACTGTGTGCATAGACGTGCTCCATGCACTTCAGCCTTGCTGGTGAGCACGTGGTACCCACCCTGTCACTACGGAGCCTGCACATCTATCTGGTGCTGCCTCATTCTTTTCTTCCTCGCCTTCTCCTTTAATCTGGCTAATCTTGACAACCTTGGAGAACCAAACTATCTTCTGATCGCTGTTCTTGATCACCATTTACCCACCAAATGATAGCAGGTGCCCTGTGTGGATCCATGTCACCACCTACCTGCCAGGCTATAGCAAGTGCCCTGTGTGGACCCCTGTGCCCCACCTACCCACCAAGCTATAGCAAGTGCCCTGTGTGGACCCCTGTGCCCCACCTACCCACCAAGTGATAGCAGATGCCCTGTGTGGACCCCTGTCACCACCCACCTGCCAGGCTATAGCAAGTGCCCTGTGTGGACCCCTGTCACCACCCACCTGCCAGGCTATAGCAGGTGCCCTGTGTGGACCCCTGTGCCCCACCTACCTGCCAGGCTATAGCAAGTGCCCTGTGTGGACCCCTGTGCCCCACCTACCTGCCAGGCTATAGCAGGTGCCCTATGTGGACCCCTGTGCCCCACCTACCTGCCAGGCTATAGCAGGTGCCCTATGTGGACCCCTGTGCCCCACCTACCTGCCAGGCTATAGCAGGTGCCCTGTGTGGACCCATGTCACCACCCACCCGCCAAGCTATAACAGGTGCCCTGTGTGGACCCCTGAGCCGTACCTACCCACCAAGCTATAGGAGGTGCCCTGTGTGGACCCCTGTCACCACCTACCCACCAAGTGATAGCAGATGCCCTGTGTGGACCCCTGTCACCACCCACCTGCCAGGCTATAGCAGGTGCCCTGTGTGGACCCATGTCACCACCCACCCGCCAAGCTATAGCAGGTGCCCTGTGTGGACCCATGTCACCACCCACCCGCCAGGCTATAGCAGGTGCCCTGTGTGGACCCCTGTGCCCCACCTACCTGCCAGGCTATAGCAGGTGCCCTGTGTGGACCCTGTGCCCCCCCCCCTGCTTCTTTGGACTATAGCAGTGAGCACATCGGAGCAGCATCATCTTGGTCCCCAGTACCTTCAGTGCTCTAAGAGGGCAGTGACGACAGTGTGCCCGCTGCAAGCCCTGGTCTGAGGTGTGGCACCCGAGTGCTTGCTAGGATGAGTGAGTAGGTGGCTGTGTATACTTATGTGTACTTCCACTTCTCCCTGTGATTGAGTTCTCCCAACTTACTCTGTTTTTATGGCATCGTTTCTAGTCCTTTTAATTTCTTTTTGGTTTTTCTTTTTAGTTTCTGAGACAGCATCTCGCACTATAGACCAGACAGCCTAGAACTCACCATGCAACCAACATTGACCTTGAAATCACAGCAGTCTTCCTATCTCAGTCTTCTAAGTGCTAGGGTTATAGATAAGAGCAACCATATCCAACTCTACCTTAATAAAAACTGTGTATGGGTACTGTGCCTGCAGGCATGCATGTGTACCATGTGCATACAGTGCCTGTGGAGCCCAGAAGAGGGCATCAGATGCCCTGGAACTGGAGCTACAGGTGGTTCTGGGCCTCTTTGTGGATGTTGGAAATGGAACCCGGGTCCTAGGCATGAGCAGCCAGTGCTCTTAACCCCTGAGCCATATCTCTTGCCCTCAGCCCTGTGCTTCATTCTTTCACACTTTGGATAGCTCAGTGTCTTTCCTCAGGTGTTATAGCCAGCTTACAATTAGTTCAATTACATCTTAAAACATTTTAAAAGGGGTTTTGGTAACTCAAGTTCTTATAAAACAGAAATGAAATGTTGAATAATCAGAGTCCAGAACAAATTTACTGGATGAAACTTTTTGTTTTTTCATGCTAAAACTTGAACCTAAGACCTTGCACATGCTAAACATATATCTACCCCTAAGTACTACTCCCCCTACCCTTTTTAAAACTAGATTAACACATATAGATACAAGCATGAATATGGAATCAGTGTTCCCTCTGTTACTTTTAAAGAATAAGTTGTCTTTTGGCATAGGTGAATGATCATTTGTTAGACTAAGCTTGTCAACCCACATGGTCTTCCTTGGTCATAGTTACTGAATTCAAGTCCCTCTGCCAAGGCCTTTCTAAACAGCATGGCCTTCTCCTTCTGTAAAATTAGGATGATTAAGCTCTCTGTCCATCCACTGCTAGTGTAAGATTGATGGAGCTTTGTTAAGGAATCACATTTGTTGCTTGGATGAAGGGCCTTTAGTAAATGCCATGAATGTGCTATTATTTAAGTTTATGACATAATGGACTGTCTGTGGAGGGAACACAGTGGAAAGCCTTTGTTTGATTGTTTATGTCTTTAGAATAACCAGAATTGCCAAATAGAGAGTCATTTTTGGGAATACCAAGATTTGGGCGGTGGTGGCGCATGCCTTTAATCCCAGCACTTGGGAGGCAGAGGCAGGCGGATCTTTGTGAGTTCGAGGCCAGCCTGGCCTACAGAGCGAGATCCAGGAAAGGCGCAAAGCTACATAGAGAAACCCTGTTTCGGAAAACCAAAAATAAATAAATAAATAAATAAATAAATAAATAACCCCAGAGATTTAAATATTTCTCAGACAAGTGTGTGTAAGTGGAAGTGATAATCTGAATTTGGACAAGATCTCTGTAAGTTCCTGAGGGCTAACTTGGGAGAATGTGCCGTAGCCCTGCGGCAGTGCCTGGCATTGCTCAGCACTCTAAATGGAACTACCATGACTATGTTGGTAATTGGACTGATTTTGAGGCAGCTGCTCATTTTTTGGTATATACTGTAGCTTTTGTTCCAGCCTACAAAATTCTTGACTATTTCCTTAGCTGATTGCACTCTGGAGGACATTATTAACCTAGAATCCTAAGAAGGCGTATCTTAGACGGTTTTTAAAAAGCAGGAACTGGCTAGGCGGTGGTGGCACACACCTTTAATCCTAGCACTCTGGAGACAGAGCCAGGTGGATCTCTGTGAGTTCAAGGTCAGCCTGGTCTACAGAACAAGATCCAGGATAGGCACCAGAACTACACAGAGAGATCCTGTCTCAAAAAAAACAAACAAGCAAAAAGCAAGAACTGAGGCCTAGTAGTCTCTGTTGGACCACAGAAGAATTTTAAGGAATGGTGAGAGAGAATGATTATCAGCTGAAGGCCCAGCTTGAAGTCTGAGGTCATCTCCAGTTTTATGTATTAAAAGTGTCAGGTGGAATACCAATGTGGTTCAGGTTAGGTCCTGATCCAGTTTGCTTCCTGGTATATTTAGACCTTTATGTCTTTCCATGTTACCACTACACCTGTCACAGAGTAATCTGACCTCCATTTCTTGAACATTTAGCACCTGGCTGTTCAGGGACAAGGAGGGGGCGGAGCATACTAGAATAATTTGAGGTTTCTGTTCTCAGGGAGCTTCCAGTCTCAGACAAGAGTGTAGAGGAAGATCCACACTGGTAAAAACCAGAAGGGGGAGTTTATCTGGCAGGGATAGTGTGGGCAGTTGAGGCTAGAGCTGGTCAGCTCTACATTTCAAAGAGAATAGTAGGGTTGTTTTTTAAGATTTATTTATTTACTTGTTTGTGTGCAAGTGTTTGGCCCTCGTATGTGATGTCTGTGCATCATGTTCATGCAGTGCCTGCAGAGGCCAGAAGAGGGTGTCAGAACTGAAGTTTCAGATGGTTGTGAACCACCATGTGAGTGCTGGGAACCAAACCCGGTTACCTTGAAAGAGCAGCCAGTGCTCTTAATCACTGAGCTTTCTTTCCAGCCTGGGAGGTGCCATTTTATACCCCTTGTTCCTTAGTGGGGTGATTGTGTAGAGGTTTAACCTGTTACAAACCTTGAGAACTTCATACAGCCATCCCTCTTTCTTAAGCACTTTGACTAAATTTATCTGCAGAAATGTTTACATGATGTTTTATCTTCTGCTACAGAAAAAATGCCTGAGGTAATCAGCTAATAAAGAAGAAAGGTTTATTGTAGTCCACAGTATAGACAGTTTCAGTGCACAGTTAGGTCCCACTGATTTCTGCCTGATGCTAGGGCAGCATTCCATAGTGGGACCATGTGGTGAATGAAACTGGTCACTTCCTGGTGAGGGAAGCAGAGAAAGGCAAAACGAAGGAGGTGGGTATCCCACAATCTCTGTGGAGAGCATGCCCCCAACAAACTTCAACATGACACCAGGCCCCACTGTTCTAAGTACTGAGGTCAGGGCCTGTGGGATGCGCTCTGTCTTACTAGGTCGCAAATAGCCATATATGTTCAGAGGACATTTTAATAATCACTAAATAATCATGGAAGCTGCGTTTCCTAGGAAAGCAAAGAAAAGAGAAGGCAGCCTGTGGTGTACAATTTGGTAATGTTTCATTTGGCTGGTTACCTATAATGCGGATATGCTGCCTATTTTATAGAGAGAGGAATTGACATTCCAAGAGAGCTGCTGACAGTGGCTACTGTGTATCTGTTTCCAGGAAGCCGAATGAGTAATAACTCTTATCTGTAGTAAGAGACCAGAGTGTAATCCGTCTGTAGTTTAGAGTTCTGTAATCTTTGCTGCTGGAGAATAGTCCCAGGGTGCACGTGTTCAGCGTTCTGTGTATCAGGTGTGAAGCCCAGAAATCATGTGGAGGGGCTACTGGCCCGCTACATAGTCTGCTTCCTAGACTCATGGGGCTTCAGTCCTCCTTGATTCTTTTGGCATTCTTAAAAACAACAGCAAAAACCATATACAGGGAAAGGGAGCATGGTCTATGCCTCAAACAAAGGCATATTTTAGTCAAGATTTTTATCATCATCATCATCATCATCATTATTATTATTATTAATTATTAGACAAGTTCTCATACAGCCTAGGCTGGCCTCACATTCCTTATGTAGCTGAGGATGATCTTGAACTGCTGCTCCGCTTGCTTCTTGGGATTATAGGTGTGTGCCAGCTCACTCTGTTACCTCTTTTTGAGGATCAGTGCAGGGCCTGGTGCATGCAGGCGAGTAGTCTGCCGCCTGAGCCGCATCCTCAGCCCCAGTCTAGAATTTGCAGTGGTGTTGAGAGTTGGTGACCTTGCCGCTGACAGTATCTTTTCTTTGCAGCTTGAAGAAGTCCTCGGCTGAACTGAAAAAGATACTGGCCAATGGCCAGGTAAGTACTGTTGCAGACTAAACATCAGAATAGTACTCTGTTACTGTCCAGAGTGTAGCCGTAGTAAGTATTAAGTGGTGAAGAGTGCACATTTCTTCTTGTCATAAATGAATGCCACAGACTAATTTGATTGGCAGAACAATCTGCAGCATGGTTTTCAACTTGAGCTAATGGGTTTCACTCCCAGCAGATTGAGGCACTGTGCACACACCCCACTGCCACCTCAGTTTAAAAAAGTTAATCAGTTCTGAACAAGTCATCAACCCGCAGGTTGTTGACAGGGCCCTGTGTTCTGAAGTGACTGTTTCTTTCATTGTCTTTGGGGACAAAAGGGGAAGACTGTTACTTTCCAGCCTTAGCTCCTCTTTTGTCCAGAGACCAGCACTGGCTTTTGTGGGGACTGAAGCCAGGCTGGGCAGACTGTGGCACACGAGTCCCTGGGCTTCAGGGAACCTTGGTTTGCCTTGTCGAAGGGCCATCTGAAACTGAATGACCTACCCCGGCCAGGAAGGACAAACAGGCCTGCAGGCCACTTATTTTTCACTAATTTTGATTCAAGTAAATGGACACTTCTGAAAAAGTATAGTGCTTTTAAACATTCACTGGTAAATGAAGCAACCTACAGGGGCTGCAATTCCTCAGCAGCAACATAAATGCGTTTTAATGTGTGTTACTGCGCAGACCCTTTGATAGCCTTGCAGGCAGCGCCTGTCCATTGCGATCAAGCCTGCCTATTAGGCTCTATTGACCGAGACATCTGTGTCACTGCAAATAAAAGACTCTTATTGATTTTCCTAACTGCTCTTCACTTCCGCCCGTGTTTCGAAGGCTGAGATCTTAATTATCTCCGATGCTTATTCAGTGCCTCCGCACACCAACCTCTCCAAGCCTTGTTGCCATTTTGTGAATCAAGGACTTGTAGTGGAGCATGTCGAGAGGACAAAGCTGGATCCTCACACTTGTCCCCTCATACCACCTGTGACGTGTGCATGTCACATGCAGAAGTACTTCTGCAAGTTTGGCACACAGTCTTTTGAATAGTTACAAAAAATTGAGTTGATCTGGTTCTCACAGCCTCTCAGCCAGTGTGCTTAAACTCTAGTCATTAAATCCTTCACATACAGTGGGAGAGAATCTGGCTTGGTGGAGTTTGTGTGTCTGTCTAATCCTAGTAGTCTCAAATTCTGAGATAGACTATGCACATTCTACACCAGAGTCACACCCTCAGCCTCCAAATGTTAGATTGCATTTACTTACTACTTTTGCCTTGGATTTAGTTTAGGGCAAGGTCTGAACCTGCTACGTGTGCCTGGTATGTGTGCAGATCCAGCATGAACAAAAACCAGAGTGCTGCGCCCAGGCTGTTTATATATCTTCGGCATGCTTGCATTTTCATTACTAATTGTAATTTATGTACAAGTCACTCGTGTTCTTCAGCTGGAAAATATATTTCAAAATAGACATAAATTAAGAAGTTTTAACTACATTTGTTCAACCTAGGCAATGGAAAATAGCCTGTCATACAGTCTTCTTTCCAAAATGAAAACCACTTTCTTTTCACAGTGAGTGCGTGCACACACACACACACACACACACACACACACACACACACACACACACACACACCAGCATTCTCAAATGCCCCTAATGTTTTGACAAAAAACACAGCCCCACAAATATCATAGTAGGGTCAGTTATGAGGGTCTCCGCAGTGGGAGATTGGCTTGCAATGGTTTTGACACTTAAATATTGTTTATTGCTTTCTCTTGGGAATATGCTAGCCCCACAGTAAACAGTGTGGCAGTTTCTTTCTTTTTATTTTTAAAGATCAGCTTATCTTATGCTTACTTTTGCTCAAACATAAATAAATAAATAATGAGAGGCGAGAGTGCTTCTCCTCCTTTCAAAACACCTACTTGTACTAATTCCTCTGTGGGTGCCGGGGAGTAACTGACTGAGGGTGAGATTGCGTTGTGGTGAAGTAATGCAGATGGTGTGGGCGTCTGTAAATCGCAGGGCTGAACGCTGACACCATTGGATATGGAAGATGTAAGTCACATTTAACGATACTTGAACACTTGAGTGTAGTTTTATTTTAGTGGTTTAAGCTCTCAAGCATTAATAATGATTTGCCTTTCCACTAGCCTCCACTTAGATTTCATAAGGAATTCATATTAATCATTAACAGAAAGGGACATGATTCTTCAAGATAATCAAATATTGACAGGTTAGAAATAGCTTTCTGCCTGGGTTCATTGATATAGGTTATGTGATATAAATATTTATTTCTTTTCTGTCACTCAGAGTAAATGCCACCAATTGATTCAGCATTGATAGAGTGTCAACAGTTCATAAGAAACATTTGACTGGCTTGTGTTTTCCGATTAGTCTCTGCTCTATAAAGTGGGATTTACTAAATCTCCCCAATTGTCTGCTCATAGAGTGTGACGCCTTCTGAAACCATTATTGCTTCGATTTGTGAAGCAAAGGTCTTATGCTCGGACTTGGTTCTGTCAGGCCTTACGTATAAAATAGGATTAATTGAGCATTTTTATTTTAATGATTTATAAACGATATACTTATTCTTTTTAACACAGTCAGACAATAAACAAAGAACATAGTCTTTGCTAATCCATAATTGAATTCTGTTTCATTGTCCCCATTAATTTCATTAATATGTTAAATCAAGGCCCATTTTGCAAATTTACCTTTAGTCTCTAGAATGGAGCTGTTTTTTTTTCCCCGTTACCACTCTGTGGTGGGGGATTCCAGTTTCCAGCTCAGTTAGTAAATCAAAAGATGTTTGGGGCCTCTTTTATTGAGAGCTGTGAATCAGACTTGCCGTGGGATTTTTGGAGTGTGCTTTCCCCGACTGGAGGTCCAGCCTGGCTTTGTCTGTCTAATGTTGGCCCTGAGTTTGAAAATGACTGGAAAGAGCCCAGAGGGTCAATTCAAAGGATTTAAAAAAAAAAAAAAATAGTAGTCACTCCATGGACCTGTGACATTTACCTCTGTGTCTCTAAAGTGGTCTCTTCCTTTTGTTTTTTGATTTTGCAGCGAGATTGGCTATATTTCCTGTCTTTGTAAGTCCAGGTTAACCCTCTGAGAAGTCACACTACAGCCAGCTCCTTTCCTGCCACACTTCTGTTGCTTCCACAGCTGTAAAAACTACCTTAAAACTCAGTCAGCACCAGCATGTGAAACTCTCCAGTTCTAAATGGTGGGACCTTAGCTCCCTCGTGAACACTGAGGCAGAAATGAGGCCGAGTGTGAATCAGAACTGCAGAGCCCCTCTTCCTGCCCACACATAGCCTGCCCTCAGTGGTGGCTGCTGTCTCCACTGCTCCCTTGGCCCCTCTTCTCTGTGAACAGAACAGAGGTACTGCCAGTCATTTGCTTTCTTGTTTGTGGATATGTAACTCCTGCAGCTTTTCCTTCCTCTTCCCTCATTTCTGTTGTTTTGCTTCTTATTTGCTTTTTAAAGTTAAAACAAGGAAAATCAACTATAATGCAACACTGGCATCTTTATTAAGTTAAAAAACAGTCTCACATCTTTATAGCTTGGAAAGCTCTGTGGGGTGTGGTGGTTGGTGGTGTGTAGTAATAGTAGCTCATGCATGTATGTACACGCCAGTATGTGCACACATGGAGGTCAGAGATTGACCTTAAGTGTCCTCCTCTATTGCTGCCCACTTTATTTTTTGAGACTGGGTCTTTCACTGAACTTAGAGCTCATGATTTTGGTTAGCTTGCTGGCTAACAAACTCTGAAGATCCTCCTGCCTCTCCTGGCTCTGGGGCTGCAGGTGTATGCGTCCGTGCCCCATTTTTATGTGGTGTTGAGGATATGAACTCAAGTCCACATGCTTCCATAACAAGCATTTACCAACCCAGCCACCTCCATAGCACATGAGCTAAGTGTTTGGCTTTTTAAATTTATTTTCTTAGAAATAAATGAAATTTATTTATTTTGAAAATTGCTTTTAACCTCTGAGAGCCTTTTGGTCAGTGACTGCCTGTCTGTGCACATTGACCATTGGAAAGGAGTGTTCCCCCATCCTGCACCCAAGACAGATTGTTGGTGGGTAGTGCTGAACTGGTGTACTTACCAACAAGTTATATAACCTCATGAATTAGGTTAAATGGCCTTAACATGCTATAAAACTGTTGTTTGTATGTCCTCACTATAGTAGTCACATGAATTGCTCCATAGGTTTATAAATTCCACCTCCATTTCTTAGTAAACATGATTCCTATGCTTCATTTTGAAAGGCTGATTTAATGTGCTTATCTAATTATAAATGGCAAAAATGCTATTAGCTGTTTTTTATAGTTTTATATCATGTGAAATCCTCAATATTTTTGAAATTCAGTTCATGAGCTCTGCTTTAATAAGCTTTTGTTTTTGCAAGATGATATGATATAATATGATATGATATGATATGATATGATATGATATGATATGATGTGATATGATATGATATGATACAAGCCATGTACCTGTAGTCCCAAACTCAGGAGACTGAGACCAGGAAAAAAAATTACTTGACTGTAGGAGTTCAAGACCCTGTCTCATAAAAGAAGCAAATGGAGCCCATACTTTTAAAAACATGAGAAATAGCCAGATGGTAGTGGTACACGCCTTTAATCCCAGCACTCAGGAGGCAGAGCCAGGTGGATCTCTGTAAGTTCGAGGCCAGCCTGGTCTACAGAGCGAGATCCAGGACAGGCACCAAAGCTACACAGAGAAACCCTGTCTCGAAGAAAAAAAAAACAAAAAACAAAAAAAACCCACCACCAACAACAAAAAAAAACATGAGAAATATTCATATGCTATAAAGACATAGAAAACTCATAAGCAAACAGAAAAGGAATCTGATAGAGATATGTTCATATTATTAAATTATTTATTTATTGAGATAGGGTCTCACTGTATAGCTCTGGATAGCCTCTAACTCACTGTGTAGACCAGGCTGGCCTCAAACTCACAGTGATCCTCTTGCCTATGCCTAACTAGTGCTAGGATTAAAGGAGCACGCCACCCTGCTTGTCAGTTTTATTTATTTGTTTATATGTGTATATGCCTGCTTGTCTGTATGTACACCGTTTGTATGCAGTACCCACAGTGGCTAGAAGAGAGCATCAGATTCTTCTGGAACTGGAGTTACAAGCGGTTGTGGACCTCCCAGTGTGGGTGCTAGGAACAGAATCCATGTCCTCTGCAAGAGCAGCAAGTGTTCTTGACCATTGAACCATCTCTCTGGCTATTGATATTTCTTAATATTACAAAAATACTATCGGCTCATTGCCTGGGAAAAGGCCTTCCATTCCTTGAAACAGCAGAGTCTCTTTGATCATTTATTATGGGTGTAGTCTTTTAAAGTAGTACGCTTTTAGAAACTACAATTCAGAACCTCTTCTATGTTTGTGCTCTTGCATAATCTTCCTCAATATCTGGGGGATTCCATAATTTCATCTTAATTTGTAGCACTCACTCAGGAACACATGCAACAACAGGCTTTGCTTCCCCTCAACGTCTCACCAGCCTTCCTCTTGAGGCTCAAAGTCCCTCCCCCGATGTTGCAAACCTATCGTTCTTGATGAAGTTGCCATGTGGGAATACTGGCCACTCCTCTTTTGGGAGTATTCTTGGGATCGTGAGTGTAGATGATCAGAGATACTCATATCTTGCCCTTTGCCAGTGGGAAGGACTTGCTCACAAATATTAGCCCTCCCAGAACCCAGACTCTCTGTGCTACATCCCAACTGCCCTTTGACCTTAGTGCCACCAATTCAGAGTTTGTGCACTTGACTAAGTGACATTTCTCTCTCCTAGAAATTTACTTCGAGCCACAGTGAGAATGTATCTCGTTAGGCAAGTTAATGGTGCAAATTAGGTTGTTGGAGGCATGTTTAGATTACCTAGAGAAATGCTCTCAGGGAATTGGCTTGGTAGCTGTTCATACCTGCCAGTAGACACCACTGTTTATGAACCCTTCATCAATCAAAGCGAAGCAAGCGGCAGCAGTCCTGCTCGCTTAACAGCTCAGGTCACTTCCTGGGCTGCTGTTCTCAATGCTGTTGGAAAAGGTGTCATTTAAGTCCAGAGTAATGTGGCTTTCTTTCCTTCATGCCACATCTTTTCTACAGGGTAAAATATCATTTTATTACATTAGTAGTTTAAAGGTCATGAAGAACAGAATTTTCCTGGAATGGGGAAGCAGTTGGCAATTTTTCTGACTTGTCTGCCAGTGTTTTCCCACTGACCTTAAATATAGCAATTAGCTGATTGTAAATTGCATCAATCAGGTTGTACAACAATTAAATCTGGTGCTGAATTGACCCTCACACATGAGTCTGTCGATACTCTTTTAGGAATTGGCAAAATGGCTTGGCAAGGAGGCTGTCGCTTTTGCTTGCCCCACACACTTCATTATCACAGTCCTCTCTGAAGCTTCAGCCACAGAAATGTATAGGAGAAAACCGTTTCCCTTGATAAATGAAGCCCTGCTTTATTCAGTAGGTGGGAGTTCAGAGCAGAGCAAATATTTAAAGCTTTACTATAATAATGGTCCAAAAGCAAACTATTATTTTCCAAGTGATATTGAATTAAGAACTCCATCCATTTTCTGCCCAATGCAAGGCAGTGCAATTCCCTGGAAATTGATTTTTTTTTCAGGGCTTACTTTCCCAAGCTTTAGCTATATGGAAAACAATACCTTTATTAAATCTACTTTGTGAATAAAGTTGGCAGTTAATTTTTATGCAACCGTACCAGTGTCTAAAGAATTACTGAGTATATCAAATGGAGTCTGGCTAGCCTTAAAGCCATTTGATAAATGATTATTTAGAGAGTCCCTTAAAGACTTGAAAGCATTACTTTGTGGGTGCCAACATAATTTACCTTCCATTCATGATTACAAACAAGAGTGGTGTTTTTGGTGTAAGTTTTGTCGAACCTTAGAAAACATGCATGCTGTCTTGTATATTAAGTTATAGGAGTGACATTAGTTGATATCACACACATGCTGTGTGTTCTCTGTAGACATTGAGATGTTGGTGTGTGATATGGCATTTACCAGTCAGCATAATATGATTTCTACCCAGCTATTGCTGTGTACTAACTTCCCATTTGCAAAGCAAACCTCTTTCCACTTGAGGAAAATGATAAACGTTATTCAGTTTGCTTAGTGTTAATTATAGGGTCACCCAAGGAGTTTTCAGGGGCTGGTTTATTTACACAGCATGCATAAATTACTGGCTGTGTGTGTGTGTGTGTGTGTGTGTGTGTGTGTGTGTGTGTGTGTGTGTTCGTGTGTGTGCGCGCGTGTGTGCACAAGTGCTAGTTGGTGTGTGAGGTCATACCAAGCTTGGCTTTGGTCCTGTGTGTCTCTACTTGGCATTAGTTCTGTGCCATGCTGGAGACCATTTTCCTGTCAGTGTCTCTGACCTGACCCTTCTGAGCTATGTTATATCATTCCATTTTGACACCTTTTATCAAACTTTAATGAAATGACCCAGGCAAACAAATTGTCATTAAACTTTCCATCACTTTGTCCCTTGGTATCGTCTTTTATAAATTGGACAGCAAATGTCGTATTGATCCTCTCGTTCTTGCGGCTGAACTTGGAATGACCCAGCCTGCTTGTTGTTTATGGCCCAGAGTTGCTTTCCTTGACATTTCCATCCGCAGCATGACACCCTTTTTGTTTTTCTTTCTTTCCTGTGGAGATGAATGAACAAGACATACGGTATCGAGACACCCTTGGTCATGGCAGCGGAGGCACAGTCTACAAGTGAGTAGTCATTCTGTGTAAACTTTCTGTCTGCTTGGCCAAGTGCTGAGAGCCAAGTACCTCGTGTCCACCACTGCTTGGATTTTATTTCCGTATTTGACACCAGAATCTGCAAGGCAACTTCTATTTTCTCGGGAATTGCCTGAAAATGCATTTATATTGCCTTTTTAATATTTCTGAGTCTGCATCTCTCCGGGGTAAGTGGTTACTAGTCCACCATTAGCAAGCGTGCCTTTTTACTGGCCTGAAGTTTAGCACATGTTTTTCTTTGCTCTTTAACACCATTACTTATTATTATTATTTGTGAAACTTGTTCTCACCTTGTGCTGGCCCCTTGCCTGTTTACAGCTATGCCCAGTGGAAACCAAACCTTACAAATACCATTGCTGTGCCCTGTGTTGACACTGTTATTAAAAAGCCTTCTTCCTCTCGTGTTTCCCTCTCTCCTCACCCTGTTCCCTCGAGAGCATTTCTGCACACATTGATGAATATGTTAAGTTAGAAGACTCTCCCAAATTCCAGTTGTAGTGATCTTACCCTAAAGGAGTGTTCATTTTCATATTAAAAAATGCTAAGCATAAAAAAAACAGTTTTCTCGACAGGGAAGTCCCTCTCACGGCAGTGCAAAGTTTAAACTACATAATGTAATATGTGGCACTTAATAGTCTGCAGTGGTGTATGAAAAATATTCCACTAGGAATTAACAAATTCATCCTCCATAAGAAAGCCCTCAGGGTAACAGAGCTTTCTCGCACACACACCAGCCCCATGCCGCATTGTGCTTCTGTTTTTACCATAGATATTGTAATATTAAAAATAATTGGGGTTATAAAAGAATTAATTTGTATTCTGATTGGTTCCCCGTGAACCCAGCATGTCCTTGTGTTGATACCACCTTGGCATAGAATTGAACAAGGAGTTAAGAGATCCTTCAAGTCATCTGATCTAGTCATCCACCCAGGATTCAGGTCCTCGGGTACAGCCAGGATGTGAGCCCTCTCCTGGGACTTCAGTTCTCAGGTACAGCCAGGATGTGAGTCCTTTCCTGGGGCTTCTGACCCCCGAGGTACAGCCAGGATGTGAGTCTTCTCCCAAAACATAGTTCTTTAAGAACTTAAGCCAGGCTTGGCATCATGTGCCTTCAATTGCAATACTCAGGAGGCAGAGGCAAGTGGATCTCTGTGAATTTCGGGCTAGCCAGAGATGCATAGTGAGGTCCTGTCCACCAAACAACAGCAACAACAACAACAAAAACCTTTAGTAATCACAGTCCTTGGGATGCTTGCTGGGGCAGGAAGATTGTTAAGAGTTTGAGGTCAGCATGGGCTAATGGTGAGTTGATGGCCAGTATAAACCATAGTGTGTGACCATGTCTCAAAAAAAATTAAAAAACAAAAAACAAACTAAGAGAATGTATATTCATCTTCTAGATTATTTTTCCCTCAGACAGTTTAATAATGTGAATTGTTGGTCTGAAATTAAGTCCTACCCCGATGATGCTAGAATTGAACCCAGGGCCCAGAGCTCCTGAGCTGTACCTCCAATACGGATGTTAAAATTTTAATCATCTGTAAAATTGTAATACAAATTAAAAAAAAGGAGGAGTGTACAGGAAAGTAGAAATAACTTGTCCATTTCCCCAAGGGAAGATTACAACCTGAAATTATGCTGCTGTTGTTTAAAAACATTTTTAATCATGTTGAAATATAAAATTTATCATCATCATAACTATTTTATGCAATTTTTTTTTCTTCAGACATGGTCTCACTGTGTAGCTCTGCCTGGCTTGGAACTTATTATGTAGATTAGGATGGCCTGGAACTCACAGAGAGATCCACTTGCCTCCACCTTCTGAGTACTAGGATTAAGATCATGCTCCAGCATACCTTGCTTTGTAAGCATTGTTAGTGTGTGGTTTAGTGGCGTTAGTACATCCCCACTCAGAAGCTGCCACCAGTCCCCCCTATCTACGGCACTCTCTTGGAGAATTCTCCCACTGGATAGTCTTGTTTACTCCCTTACACTTGTGTTTAGCCATAAAGCTGGGCTAGAAATCCTTTCATTGCGACTGAAATGTCCCTTGAACATTTCGCAATGTCTGTGTCACAGGTTCTTTTAGTTGTTGGAATGCTGATGCTTCTCCCAAGGGTTCACCTAGCTGCCATCATCCACACTCGTGTGAGTCTCACAGGGTTACTGTTTGGACAGCAGTTGCTTAGGGAAGGTGAACAGCAGTGTCATGGTGATGGAGTACTTTATTTAATTAGTACATTTCTCATTAAAAAAAAAAAAACCTCCCATGTATCCTATTGCCTATGCAATTCTTTTACTTGTATATTTTGTTTTGAAACTGGATCTTGCCACATTGCCCAGCCTGGTCTTGAAGTCCTTGGTTTAAGCAATCCTCTTGTCTCAGCTTCCCGAGTACAGGTGTGTGTCACTGCAGTTGGGTCATATCTAGTTCTTAAGGAGAAGGACTGTGAAGATACCCGACCGCAAAGCCACTGTGGTTGATGACTGCCCTTCATTTCTGGGCTGCAGTGTGCAGTGTCCTTGTGACCCTGGCTTTCAGTTCTCCACGGAACAATGCTCTAGGCATAAGAATGGAGTTCAGTTGACTGAAGCCTTTAAGGAACACTGTTTGGTGTGTTGTGATTGGGTTTCTCTTACACCAAGTTTACCTTAATAGTGTTTACTATAAGAATTGTGGGGTTTTTTTTTTTTTTAGAAATAAAGTGATTACATTAGAGGCTATGGTACATAAACTAGATGAAGAAAATATTGGAAAATCCACTCATTGGTAACAAAACTGCCTAATGGGTCTATTTAATTTTTTTCTTAGGAAGTATAATAAAGCTAATAAGTGTGCATCAAAAGTCTAATATTTCAATCTTTTCACTTCACTTGTTAGGATGTTGTAAATTTCAAGTGATCTGGTACCTCATGTAACTGCAATGTATATTATTTAATAGTTGGCACATTTTGGTCATTTCAATCTAGATATTTCCTTCACTTGACTGTGTAAAAGCTGGCTCCAGACATCTGGACTGGTGTACTGTGGATTCTATGTAGGCCATTCTTTGAGTTTTGGTAGTCCCCTAAGCAGGTGGTTTTAGTTGGTATTTCTTATATTTGAGTCATAAAGGAAATTGAGATTTGAAGTATAGCCTATGTGTAGAAAGAGGGAAAGTTTGGGAAAAGAAAATGGGTGCATTTTCATTACTCCCTTACCCAAAGCCCTATAAATCTCCAAAAAACAATTTTTTTTTTTTACAGGAAAGGAATGTTTTATTTTCTGATTCACTATGAACTTAAAAAATGCAGAGGGTATAGAAGGCAGTATATGTTGTAGTTAAGTATGAGGGCTCTGAGTTTGAATTCCGTCTCTGTTGCTAACTAGCTATGTGAATCAGACAGTTTGTGTATAGTCTTCTGCCTCAATGTTACCATTTGTAGAGTGGGGTAATAGTACCTCTCTTTTCAGAGATTGCTGCACTTTTAAATGAGAGATCCACAGGAGGCCGAGCCCTGTGGCTGGCACTTTTCCATGGTGGCTTCTAGTAATGATGGTACTGACAGTGGAAACTTTGTTCATACTCTCATTTTTTGCCCTTGTGTGGCCATGGAGCTCAATTTGAAAAACATCTATAAAACTATCTCAGAGTCATATTTGGACTCAATTAACTTGGAGACATCTTCACTATGCTGCATGTTATATTTTTTATTTTCTATCCCACTAATAAAACATTATTATATCATATTATCACAATATGATTTTCTGCAAGCCTCACCGTGTTTTCCCTGGCATCACAGTTTGTTTCGGATTGTCACAGGATGGCTCGGATGGTATAAACCCCTTGTGCCACTGGAAAGTAAGAGGGCTCCCCTTTGTTTAGTCATTCATTGGCCGAGCCAGAACCCTAGGCAATGCCTCCTTTTCTTCTTTCTCCTAGGCAGTGTTTTTCCCCAAGGTCAGGCAGAATCTATTGTGTTCCTTTGTATTCCCTAGCATACAGGTCCAGCGTCCCAGGACTGAGGGATACTTGGTGCATGCTGGCTGAAGTAAGAAGGAGAGGAACCGAGGCCTTCCAGTCAGGTTTCGGTGGCTCCTTAATTGTACCCTTCCCTGTCTCTCTCCTCTAGAAGAAGGGGTTTCCAGACCAAGCACATCCATTTAATGATTAGTTCTCTTACAGAAGTTAAGATTTTGATGACTTGGCATCTCCTGGCCCAGAAAACTAGTCCCTGTTCCCCTTTCTTAGATAGTTTGTGGTACTGAAAACAGAGTGATTAACAGGCCCATTGCACATCTTGTAGATCCAAAGCCAGCCACTCGGGCTCTGCTTTGGACAGAGCTGCTGCACTCAGACTTTAGAAATGTAGGATGGTTAAGTCTTGAGATTTCATGGGGCTGCCCATTGGCTAACAGTCGCCCAAGTCACCAGAGGGGGCTGCCTGTTAGTTAATGGTCGCTTAAGTTACTGGAGGGTGCTTCCTGTTAGCTAATGGTCACCCAAGTCACTGAGGCTCATCACTTCTAGTTCTTGTATGTCTGTTTCCTAATGCGAATTCTTTAAGTCTTAGATTGTTACTGTTTTGATCATGAGTTCCAGTCTCTAGATGTTAGAAATTAGTAGTGAATTTTCTATGTCTAATTCCTTCCTGTGGTACGGTGATGAATCCTGTCTGGAACTGGGGTAAAATTTCCAGTGACATTATAGGTAGCATATATTCCACCCACATGGTGTTCATTATTTAAGACTTTTTTCTAGAGACAATATGAAGAAAAGGGGAGTAATTCTTAAGGGTTGGTTTCTGTTGTTTCCTTTAAGTGTTATTCATCAGGCACCAAACTGGGGACAGTCCTTGGAGGGAGTAGCAAAGATGCTCTGAGTTCATAAGTTACCTCTTGCCCCTGTGATATAACTATAAAAAAATAAATGTGTGCTTAGAAGCTGGGATTATAATAGGTCATTATAGTAATATGATTTATGTATTGA